ATGAATAAATATGATTAGTGTTATAATGGAGTGGGACTATCACTTACATTTTTATTGTATAATAATTAGACATTTGGATTATTGTACATTCATATTATCCTAGCTGCAAGCTTTTGTCTAGTACAGAAAATATTGTTTTGCTTTTTTTCCCTTAAGTTACTGTTAACTAACTATACATCTATTACTTCGATCTCTTTCACATACGGTATACCTATGTCCATATTGTAATTTCCGATTTATGTTTATGTGCAGTCTGAAAATTAGTCTATACAGATCACATTATCTTGATTTATTGATTCAACTGTAAAAATAGAGGTCATTTATCTACTTTGCTGTTGTTCTATTCTAGCTATCGGGCAAGCAGGTGTGGGAGAACTATATTCTGAACCAATAGGCTTTAAGTATTGATCATGGCTATTATCTCAACATCATCGAATTGTTGGTCAAAGGAAGGCCGTCGTGTCATTTGATTAGCAGATCATCAGTTTTGAATAGGCAATCTAGATGATGAATCCAATACTCGGACGGGATCATACAACTGAACATTGGATGACGACCTATTCACACGGGATCTCAACGAGTATAATGAGCGGCAGAAGTGTACCTATCGCTGAAATGGCTGGAGATAAATTTTAACTAGAAAGTCTTCAACCCAAAAGCTTTGTGAATCCGATTACGTTACAAAATACAAAAACAATAAATTTATTGTTTATTTTCTAGACATAGGTATTTTCAAACAAATCTTATTTTTACAGAATTACACAGATACATATATGAAAGTGTTTGGACATACCACTGCAGCCTTCAAAGATGAAGCTTTCAATGAACCGCCAAGTGAAGTCAAAAGTCGTACAGGAAGCTTCAATACGAACCCCATTTCTCTAGGGTAAGACAAAAGAAACGAAATATCCGAAGATTATTAAAATTACCAATGGGTAACATATTCATGACTAAATTGTTTGGTTACCTTCGGGACATGAAATGAGAGGATCATCATTTCAATGTGACATGTTATTCATCCTAATTAATTATCAGTAAGGATTTGTGTAACTTGTTGAATTTCATTGACATCAAGAAACGATCCCGCAGGTGGGATCGTGGATGGGCACTGCTGGAGAGTTTCGTATTAAGATAAAACGGCCGTCCAGTACTTCCATGTTTTCAACGGTGCTCTAACTTAGATCGGTTCATGATTTCAACATAATTATCACTTATACACCACTTTTCCCCCCAATAATTTTTCTGTTTCTGAATTAAAAGTTCAGTCATATCGCTTTGACGAATCTAGATAGTATATTCAATCTATAATGTTTAAATAGCCTATTTTCCCATTTTCGTGATTAAATATTGCATCACGCCAGTGTGACAGCAGACATGAAAAAATTTCTAACAATAGAAATGTACTATATTATCATTCACCTAGAAACTTAAACACAACGAATTCGTCTCAAACAATTAACACCAGATCTCATGGAAAACCCAAATGAAGGCAACACAACAGTTGGTACACATTTTCTACATGTCTTCTCTGTCAAAACGAGTAACAAATGCATCAGAATCCACACACATAAATTAGACTTCATTGTAGTGGTTTCAATTTCGGTCTAAAAATTTCTTACTGGAACTACATGTATACTAGACGATAAAGTGATTATTATTTTTATCAATCTATTTTCACATGAATCGTTAACCTTGTTACCGAATACCTGGACCCACTATTCTTCATGTACACTACTATTCGCGAATATGGTTTTGTTATCCTCTTATTTTTTTTATTTTAACACAAAAATATTAGTACAAGGAGGCACCAAATACATATGCGCCACACAAATCTCATTCGATATGTGTGAGGGCTGTGATACTGCCCGGGTGCCCAAACCGAAGCAGGTGGTTTTCTTAGGGGGCCACTCCCCGAGCCTTCGACCTGAAGGTCTGATCCACAAGGCAGTGGAGCATCGTAAGGAGATGCAGTCCCATGGAACCCGGTGAACAACGATTGGTTAATACGCCATTTGTTCCCGCAGGATCCTGGAGCCCATGTGCACCATTGGTTTGTGATCCGGTTAAGGCGCCGGACATTCGCTTTTCGTCCTCTCAATTTCGTAAACAACAGTAATGCCACGAGAAGGCAGTGAGTAGGACTTCCCTGGCAGAGACTATATACGCGTGGCCATGTGAGAGCATTTGGAGAGGGAGAGGGGACTCTCCCCACTCTCGGCCGGGACGGCGAAGGAGGTCCTCCCGTCCCACTGGTTAGGCAGGCCACCCACCGTAGCAGGCGTAATTTTCGGTAACGAAGTAACCACCTCCATTGCCCGAGTATCCTCTTATTAGCAAAGTAAATATACCAAAGTATTATAAAGCAATAAGAATTTTATAATGAATTATAAATTTAAACAATTACTTACGAATTGCACAGTTGCTTGAAATTCCCTTACTGTCACAATTTACTATTATCTATAATAATCAAGAATGAAAAATACAAATGTTTATGTGAAATAGGTTGTGTTTATTTGGAATGAATAAATTTACAAAGCAATAATCAGATTGAAAACTAATGAATCAATATCCCATAAAACCATAGTTCACTTTATTAATGACTGATTAACAGACAAAATCATTCATTCACAGACGAAAATAACAGTCAGACAGATATCAATTAGGTAAACAATTAAAACAAGCATCAACAATCAAAACAAACAATCAAACTCACTATTCACAAAATCAATCATTAAAGTGAAACCTGGTTAGGATTCAGATGCGCATAATCATCACATTATAAATATAACAAAAAATAAATGTGAATATATTATATTATCAATAATGTACATACTAGAAACTAATTTGAAGTACCACACACACACAGAATTCCGTGAAAAGAATTAATTCTGGAAAGAAAAGAAACGACGAAAAAAATAATACAAGTAAGAATTTAAGACATTTTAAATACAGACAAATAATTAAGACTAAAAACTTTTTTTTCAATATTCACCAATTGTACACATTATTAAAATCAATAAATCAAGATTAGTTAATTATTACTTTAGAGATTATGTTCAATTATTGTAATCTATAGAATATAAACTAAATTAAAACCAAGATCATTATAGAAAGTCAGATGTAGATATTGAACAAACCACAAAGAATAACAAATAGGTTGTAAATTATTTTTCTGTCTATCTGTCTATCTATCCATCTATTCTGGAAGGTATGGTTATGATAAATATTCTCTTTATTTCTTCCTCTTTACAGACTTTGTCAAATTAATCACTAGATATATACTTACTGGAACTACAACATATAAATCGGTAGAAAATTCATATGAATTAGACAATGACTAATAAATTTGCTGAAAATGCTGAAAATAAATAGAAGACAATATTGAACTTCGTAGAATCAGTATATATTTCGATGGAGCAACAATCAGTAGGTTAAGCGTTCGAGCGCGAGATCGAAGAGCCTGGGTTCGAATCCCGCGAGCGGGACTGTGGATGCGCACCGCTGAGGAGTCCCACAATAGGATGAAACGGCCGTCCAGTGTTTCCAGGTTTCCAACGGTGGTTTAACATCAATCGGTTCATGATCTTAATCAAAAACTTAATAATCTCCATAACCCCTATACTGATAATCCTTTCAGAAAGTTTTTGGTTCATAAAACAAAAAAGTGACATTTAAAGTCCTACATATATGGGAGAATCCAAACAATAAAAATAGAAAAGATGGAGTACAATAAAATGTCCTATTAATAAGTAAATCTATATCTTATTTTATTACTTTTAATTTGTCTCATATTATATGGACAATAATGATAAATTTTCATTTGTTATTTGGTCTAAATATATAATGAGCAACCAACTTGTTTAACAGAACAATACAAACATTTATTTCATACGTTCTAATTCCTTGATAAATTCAAGTAAAGTGGGAACAATATTTGCAGAGTAAAATGAATTCATTATGGTTTAACACTTTGCATCAGTTGAAAATGGTCTAAATTCACATTAGTAATGTTATTCTAAAGAAATTTTATTACACACCATAATCAATCAAGTTTAGTTCAAAGGGAATTAAAAAACCAGAAGAGGAAACAACATATTTAATATAATAGTTAAAATTGATTAGTATTTATATGCTGAAAATGAAATCATAAAATAAGAGAAAGGAGTGAAGTTGTAAAATATAAAAGAGACAACCAACAGAAACAAGCTTTTAACAAATCAAGGGAGCTAGTTGACATAAAATTCAAGTTAATTTTTGTTATAATACTAATAATAATGTAAATCTAGACCATTTGCATCTGATGAGTAGCCCTGAAACAGTGAAAACTTTTATTTATTTGTCTTTATGTTATGTATGTTGTGACAAGTTTAATTTATAACACCCAACCAGATCATCTAATTTCATCAACGACTATAACCTAAGGACATATTTGGTTAATGGATTTTTTAAATATCATATCAGATCTACATACTATACACGCATACAAACACAATCCCATCATATTTCACAACAAATGACGCATACTCATACAACATTATTCCTATGACTGGACAATTTGTTCAGTACATGATTTGAAACTTAGACCAGACTACTGAGCGAAACGCTGGATTAATTTAAATTGCTAATTTTCTACACATAAACTTTCCTTTTTATGTATTATACTTAATCGGTCCTATACCACTGTGAAACTATTTATTCATATTTAAAGGAAAATTCTTAAGAAAATTGTTTATACTTATTCTGAAAAGCCATTATGAACACGTCACTTATCAATGTCATTAATCTGTTAAGTTAAGGATAAGGCACTAGGGTGAATTGTTGGAATTGTGAACTCCAGGATGTTAGTGAATATCAATAAGAAATACGACAAGTTATACATATCGAGTGAAAGAATCAATTAACTGACGTTTAGAATCTCAACTATTATATACATATAATATTTTGAAAACACAGATATGGTAGTAGACATAAAATGGTATATAATATCAAATAATCTAATGATTGAAGAAAATACGCAATATTTCCACATTTTAATAGTTATCCAATTAATGCTTAAACTATCTGGAGAACTGCTGACAAAGAACTAGTTAATTGATTATCCTAAATATTAAAAAAACAAAACAATAAAATTGAAGTTGAAAAGCATGAACTCAAGGATGACTGACCGACTACTTACAACATAAAAAATTACTCAACTGGGAAAGAAATACATATTTTTAAAATGTAACAGATACTCCATCTAAAAAATCAGTAAATGGTAATTATAGATTATGGTAAACTTAATATGTCGACAAAAACAAGCACATGAACACAAACAGACACACAATGAGTAAAAAACGAGAAACACTCAATATAATTTTTTATTTCTATGAATTAGATATATTGAATTTTATCAATAAAAATCATACAACTGAATAATGACTATTGTAATACTGTCTACATTGATCCTGGTATTTGTTTCGTTGAACAATGGGGCGGGGTGATCAGCTCTAGATGCACCAAATGGTAATGTAGGATAATTTTCGTCTTAGAAAGAAGGGTTTAATTCTCTTGTAGGTACTAAAATAAAACCTAGTGTCAGAATACATAAACATGCACACGAAGTAGAATGAACCTAAATTATTACGACTACAAGACAACAATAGTACATTACGTATAGACAGATTTATGTATAAAAAAAGGGGGAAATCCATAAAAGGAGACGTATGTGTACACGTCAACACAACATTAAAATGATGTGAGATAGTAGAGGGGAACAGTAAAAACAGAGGGAGATAAAAAGGAAACAGATTAACTAAATAGTGAAAATAGTAAACCAACTTGATGCAGATAATAAAAACAACAACAACATCAACAATTGAGATTTAATCTTACCAAAATTGTAAATGTCACAAAAACACAAACATAAAATGATACTAATAATAATAAAATAAGCGAGGCAATGAAATAATAAGTTTCAATGAAAAATAACAGGAGATGAAAGTTACACATCTCTAAGACCAATTGAAACTAAACATATTTAATTCACATAAAATTTATGTCATAATATCAAGTATTCGAAAAAGGAAAGAAAAATAAGCAAAACCAGGTGAAAATGAATGAATATGAAAATAAATCTATACATATTTCATAATCGGAATCAGAGGATATACACACACTTCCAGGCTCTAAAATGTTTTTTTGTCTGTTCATCTATCTGAAAAATATTAGTTATAATAACATTCTCTTCATTTCTTCTTTTTTGTACATAGAAAGTTAAATCATGTAAGAGGCAGTCAATTGAACTTGTAGTAAAATACACATTATTAAAATGTGTCACCAAAACTATAACCACTGACTCTACTATTCAAACTTTGTCGACTTCCATGAAAACTGAACTGTTCAAAATATGGTCCATCGACAATTCGATTCATATTATCTTCATCATCGTTTGGAGGAGTCAAATCGACCGACGTATCCTTGAATTCATCTGGGACATATTTTGTGTCTTTTTCATCGACCACGTCTGGTTTCCATGGTGGTTGAATATCTCTGAAAGTGTAGATGAGTAAGTAAATAGGTGTTTTAACATATATACATATATATATATATATATATATATATATATATATTAGTTTTGCCACCAAATGCCTTGGTACGACCGAGAGTGGGGAGAGTCCCCTCTCCCTCTCCAAATGCTCTCACATGGCCACGCGTATATAGTCTCTGCCAGGGAAGTCCTACTCACTACCTTCTCGTGGCATTACTGTTGTTTACGAAATTGAGAGGACGAAAAGCGAATGTCCGACGCTTCAACCGGATCACAAACCAATGGTGCACATGGGCTCCAGGATCCTGCGGGAACAAATGGCGTATTAACCAATCGTTGTTCACCGGCTTCCATGGGATTACATCTCCTTACGATGCTCCACTGCCTTGTGGATCAGACCTTCAGGTCGAAGGCTCGGCGTGTGGCCCCCTAAGATAACCACCTGCTTCGGTTTGGGCACCCGGGCAGTATCACAGCCCTCACACATATCGAATGAGATTTGTGTGGCGCATATGTATTTGGTGCCTCCTTGTACCAATATCTATGTGTTAAAATAAATAAATAATATATATATACGGTTAGCAAGCCATGGATATGAAATATTCTTTCCCGAAGAAAAATGAAACAAAATAACAAATTTAGAAAATCACGTGAGTCGTATTTGTCATTAAATTTATAACTTAAATCTTAACAACCTAGCAAACTATGCTGAAATGTCGTCCCTGAGAAGTCACTGAATGAAGTATGTACAATTCATTTGTATTAGTTTAAATCTTCCAACTGATGTTTAGGATTGCAATTAATCAGTCTCGTTTCGCATATGTGTATCCTGTATGAATTGTCACTAATTTAAAAGCACTATAAACAGAGATGGATAGTGGGTAGCAGTGGGATCCAGGACAAAACGTTCATCCTGGATTCCACTGCTAGCCACCATCCATCCATGCTTATAATGACTATGACTTAATGACAAAATCGAGGCAGTCCGCACAGGATACACATATGTGGAACGAGACTGATCAAATGCAGTCCTAAACATAAATGGAAAGATCCAAACAACCAATGTAAATGAATAGTTTTAGTAGTTGTATTCGAAACAGAAATTAACATTACTATAACAAGTTTTCTGGTTACTAATTTAAACAATTGATATATCTCGAACATAATGAAAATGACAAACTAGAAATACATACATACAACATACTTTCTTATTAAACGATCCCAATCGACTGACGCAAAAAACAAATGTGCCATAACTTCCAAAACATCCTGTACTCCACCACCTAGTCGACTTGTTGGATCTTTAATTAAAAGTCTAGACAAGATATCTTGAGCTGGGTGTGAAAGACGAGCTGGGAAGGAGACATTGTCCTAAAGCATTAAAAATGACAAAATACGATATAATCTGAATGACCATTACTGCCAAAATATTTGCATAAACATTAAGATTATTTGTAACAACCCACTTGATATCTACTACACAGAATAATAGAAAATTTCAAACTATTGAACGCTTGATATAGTAAGATATCTAGATTTGAGTCATAAAAAAGTGGCAATCATTGTCAAAAGACAGAGCGAAGACCACATATTCGATACCGACTCTTCATTTTTACATTTACAATTGTCATAGTTAATGTGAGGGTTCTGACAAATTCTGGATGTTTAAATGAACTAGGTAGTTTTCTCAAGGGATTGCCTTACATACTTTGTCTACAGGGTAGTGAGAAGATGCCAGATACAATGTCCTGACAGCTGGTTGTCAAGGTAGGCACTGGGCTTTCCAGGGCCTTAAGGTTAGTATGGATCACTTGTCTGGAATCAGGGATTCCTAACTCTTTTAAGTAAACCTTTCGTATCCTTCGGCTATGTCTAACCACCAAACGTCTGTTTCCGTTCTAGTATTGCAGGAACATCTTACCAAAGTTAGTGGAGTAAGTAGGACTATTCATGAGAGGCCGAAGACGCATGATTTAATGAGACCATACCAAGTAGGAAAACACTATTTCCACTCTTGGCAATATAAGAGAATGAAAAGACACGTACAGCAAGCTTGATCAGGATTCAGTCACTTGTGGCACATCTAACTTTAGTGAGATATTCATATCTACCAAAACATTTCCCAAAAATCATAATACTTCACTTTGTCTTGCTAAGAGTGAATAACATGTGGATGACGAAAGGTTGGAAATATGGCTCATTAAGTGATAGGAATTACGTATGTTTCTCATCGATAAACTGATAAGATGTTTCAAATTTTACAATCCAATAGGATTTTATAACTTTTTGGTAAGTATGAACTTCGATTGAGACATAATTAACAAATATAGATGTACAGCTGATTAGCAATTATTATTAATAAAAGAAACTTAAGTCATGATATGATCGCTTTGACATTCAGAAAAAAAATGAGAAAGTTTGGTATTTCTGAATAAAGATAACACTGATTTGGCAAAGCAATAATAAACTGAAATCTCTATTATTTTGAAATATCAAAAAAAATAGAAGCGTACAATGATAACAAAATTCAATTACGGCTAACTTACTTGCAGTATTAATTCAAACAAAACTTCATGATCACTTGAGTAGAATGGTAAACGTCCACACATCATTTCATACATTACTACACCAAGGCCCCACCAATCAACTGAACGCCCATAATCGTTATCCAATAAAACTTCAGGTGCTAAATATTCTGGTGTACCACAAAATGTTTTAGTTGATGCACCATAGTACATGTCTTCTTTGCACAGACCAAAATCAGCGATTTTTATATGACCATCTTTATCCAACAATAAATTTTCCAATTTAAGATCCCTGGTTAAGTTAGAGCAAGAATAAAAAAACACCAAGTGTTGTAACGATTATTCTCGCTCAGAAATAAAATCTTTGAATATAAAAACAAAAATCTACTGTAAGAACTGTTAAGGCTTCGAAGGTAAATGAAAGGGTCAATAAACTGAACTAGTTCACAGTATATTGTCCAACCAAGTATTCATAAAGTGTCTTGAAACAACACCTTATATTTGCAAACAGAAAAAAGTAAATATTCGTGCTTGCTTGCTTGTTTTAGACAGAAATGTGTTAGCTATCTATTCCAATTTGATAAAAGTTGTTAGGTAGCAGACCCATAATTCAACAATTTAAACTACGAGTTACCATTAAAAGCATTTGACCATATTTCTCTCTCCATCTAACCAGGTTCATGTAACATGTTATTAAAGAACAAGCGTTTCAGTCAATATGTCTTGATCAGATTGTCATAATATATAAGTTTAAACTGGGTCAAAGTAAAAAGCTACATTTGAGAAAAAGTACTATCCCCGAGTACTTCTTAAAATCAAAATTATATGAAGTATAACTTATAAAAAAACAGAGATTATGTAAATCACTATATATATATATATATATATATATATATATATATATATAATTGATTTCGAAGGTATTTTTCTCCTTACCTATAAACAACATTCTGGTGATGTAAATAACCTAAAGCCAAAGTAATTTCTGCACCATAAAATTTAGCTCTTTCTTCTGAGAATACACGATCGCGTTGTAGATGAAAAAATAATTCACCACCATTAACATATTCCATAACAAAGCATAAATAATTAGGTGTAGTAAATGAATAACGTAGCTCTGTCATAAATGGATGTTTGCATTGTTGTAGCACACGATTTTCAGTCATTGTATGAACAACTTCTTCTTTCTGTTATTATGTGGCAAAAAAACAATGCAAAAAAATAATGAACTCACGCGATAATAATAATAATAATGACAATAATAGTAAACAGTAATCATCGTTGGTTTTTAAAAAAACCATAACAATTGTTGCTATATAAAAATAGTTTATCAGGTGTCTAACAGATAACAATTGATGTAATGCTCTGTTGAATGTACGAAGTAATATGGTTTATAACTTCAGGAATATGAGAAACAAGTTTAATTTTAATGCAACTTAATAACTAAGCACAGATTCATAAGCTCAGACTTAAGCGAAACTTCATTGATACTGTGCATACTACTTGTGTCGACAGACATCAGCAGTATGTAACACCGATCGGAAGTGGAAAACCTGGCAGTAGAAGGCTAAGAAGATCGAGTTGAAAAGAACACAAGGAAAAATAGAAAAGAATTGAGAACTTGAAGAATCATACAGAATGTGAAGGAGAGATGATGAAAATTTGCAAATGAAGTATGCAGTGTATGACTCATATATTTTACCAAGATACTGTAATTTCGTATTTACATTGGTTGCTCCTGCATGTATTCCTGTTCATTACAACACTATCTAATCGTCTAAACTGAAATAAGAAAAGGTAGGTTTTTAAACTGCGTATAAAATGGTTGAGAAATTCACGAAATATAAAAAACCTGCAATATGCTACATTTCAAGGCAATTGATGAAAGCCTTTAACTTTTAGTTACTAGTATTTATTAGATCTACCCAACTAAAATTCAGGTGAAAATGATGATCATTTAACAGAATCAAACACATAGACTTGTAAAATTAGAAATAATAATTATGACTATTCGACTTACTTCAATAAGTACAGATTTCTTTAGTATTTTCATAGCGTAAAAATGACCTGTTTCATTTTCTTGACACAAAATCACTTTTCCAAAAGTACCTTTCCCTAAAACTTTTAAAAGTCTGAAGTCATTTACAGAATAACGTTTCACAGGCCTACAATATGAAAAAATATTAGAATGTTTAAAAAACAATAATCAAAATAGATAGAAAACAAGTAACAATAACTACAATATATGTGGATTGTTGGAGTTATGTAGAATAAAAATAAGAGTAGTTATATAATAAAACGGTTGTAAGCAGCGATAGAATTACTATAACAATAATAATAATAATAATAATAATAATAATAATAATAATAATAATAATAATAATGGTAACGTTAATAATAATAATAATAATAGCGTACGAAAGTATGCACGAAAATAAATAAGGCAATGAGTACCGAAAATCAAATCAAGTCAATGGTTATAATTTCAATGAGTGACTGTAAAAAAACATAGTTCATTCACGCGCCATAGATTAGACTAAATTAGTAAAAGTTATTTTAAAGTAAGACAAAAGGGTTAGACAGGTTTCTCATTAAAAGTTATTAGACACTAACTAGAGGTCATCATCACATGCTTTGTATTCGACTGATAATGTATATGATGTGTTTTTGGATGTAATTACATAGGCCAGACAAGGAATAAAATATTTTATGCATTGTGAGTATTTTACTGACTAGAAGGTAAGAACAGACTCTCAATGTCATTATACAGAATATATACATATCTGGTTGTGACCAGCAATGAAAAGTGACCTAGAAAATATTACCTACAATCTTTAGTTTTCATGTACAAATTGAATAACAATCCAAAAGCACTCGATACAGTTCTGATAAGAAATCAGTGATAGTAAACTATCCAATTTTCCTAAAGTATTTTTGGCCTGTTCTCATTGCAACTTTTAATTCAACATCCGGATCGGTCCGGTATATGCACTACGCGTTTTAACTGTATAATATGTCATCGTAATTTGAACGATGTTTTAATGCATGGAAAAGTCACATCTGTGTGACTACATGTAAACTTCACAATTTAAACTGTACTTCAATCCTAACCTTCACAAGGTATTTTTTTGTAGAAAAAATTTGCAAATATAAGAAAACGTACTTGAGTACTTTCATCCGTGATTAGCTACATGTACGGAGGGTTGATTTGTCCCAAATAATTAGCATAGATAAACCCGAGCTAAATTATGTTTTATCAGCCTCAATAGTATTTCATAAACCCAAATATGTAATAATCATTGATTTCTTAATATAATGATAAATCATGTTTTTATGTTTAAACTAACCTCTGAGGAATATCAACGATCATATTTTCAGCCAAATCTAAACTGTGTACGGATACTGGCTGCTCAAATGATGATTTGAGTCGATTTGCGACGCTTTGAATTGCGCTAAGCCAATAATTTCTTTCTGCTTCCGTCTCGACAAAGAATAAACGTTCCACTACATTGGTCCATTGTAAACCACGAATAAGAAATGTGTATGGTTTTGGTTTGTTTAAACATATAATTTGACAGTCGCGAACAGTGAAATTATTTAAAGGTTGAGCCATATCATCCTAAAAACAAATGTTGGCAAACTATGTATTTTAGTAGATGATATGTACTCATTAGACTTATTATATTTGGAGAACTAAATATATAACTATCATATACTGATCTAATTGTCACTTAACAGACAAATTAAATATATCATGTTAGTCGATTGAAAAAGTGTCACTCGTGGGGATTCACTAATATGTCAAACAAGGAAGACTTTTGTGAATAATTTAATTTACTAGACAATCATCTTTTGATTTGCATAAAATAGGAAACAAAACAATATTAGACAAATACAACTCCTAAAACACAATATAGCCATAGTTTTGAATGTAAAAAAAGAAAATATTAGACAGCTTGTAATTGATGCGACGATATAATACGTTTTATATGTATCATAGGTTACACTTAGTTGTTACACACTTTGTCTGTAGTTTGCTTCTTCGGCCATCAACAAAGTTACGTTCTGACAACAAAAATACACAAACTTCATTGAGCAAACTATTAAGATCATACTTTACAGAACTGCGTTGACTTCACGAACTTAATAAATGACTGAGATGACCAGGAATAAGGTAATAAGCTGAGAGTTAATGTGATGTATAATAATAAAGAGTTCAGAATAACCAAAACTTTCCCAGGTACATCCGATTCGCTTTCGATACATGAATAATTATTGAGATTATGTATTGTTATTGAAGAAAAACAGTAATAATTAATCATATCAAGATAAATACAAAAATAGCTCGAAACAAATTTGAAACCAACTTTAGGTTGAATTTTATATCCATAAAATGTCCCATCTTCCCGTAATTTGAAATATCGACGTCGCCAATTTTTAATATGTTCGCCGCGTTTCATAAGCCATCCCTCTTTCACAACGTTCCGAGTAAGAGGTAAGGAAACTGGTCTGCACTGGAGCATCCCAAGAAGGTATGGTGATATACGCGGCGCCAAATTGTCGGAGTAATTTTCTGTCAGTTCGTTCTTAAATAAGACATTCGGATTGGAGGCTACAGGAAGATGGGCATGTTGAAGACTACTAAAGATATTTGAACTCGTGCAATTGATATTTCGTCGCTGAGAAGCAGTGGTATTTTGCACTTTGGCTGATACTGAGACTGGTTCATGCTCCGTGTGACTGCTTTTCGACGAACCAACCACTGGATTTTGAGAGTAATTACACAAAATCTCCATCACCCAGAAAATCTGCAGTCTAATAAAAAACGAATTTCAATGGACTGAAAACTTGTACCGCTCCAAAGATAACTTATCACTGATAAAGTTATCAAAGTTACCTCTAAAACATGATATTATTCGAATAATTTACTCGAAGTCGTACTGCTTCGCTCAAAGCTCTAGACAACAACATTGATAAGAAAATACATGATGTATTATCTAAATGTCAGATGAAAAGCACCCTGAAGCTGATGATTAAGAGTCTACAATTAAGATCTTCCTAATTTAACACCAAAAACATCACAAGGGCGACATTTTCTAGAGTAGAATTTAATTTAACTTGAGCTTTGACGAACGGTAGAACGGACACACGTCAAGATTTGCACAACGTATTTATAACTTGAAGACCTTATATGTTTTGCGGGTAACTACTTGTTGAAAGTTGCATACATTATGGGTTAGGTGTAACATGTCAAGACCACCCTGGTTGGTACAATTAAACTATAAACTTCATCAACTTGTAAGACCATCTCCCTAAATAAACCTAGCTTTCGTTGAAATATGAACGATACCTCAAATGTATTTATTGTGAGACATATACAGTATGATGTCCAACTCTAACGTTCTTATTTCCTGGGTTGTATCCTCAGCTTTTAAAGGATGTTCGTACACTTCGAAATGCTGGAAAGATAAGGTGAAGTGCCAGGTAATGCCAGAAAACTCATTTCGGTGCTTTTGTTGACTACTAGTCCATCTAATATTATCCAAACACCCGAATAAAATACTAAAGGATTATAACCTTTCAAGATTCAAACATACCACGTTTGACTGCATGAAAAACTGACGACAGACGAGTGTTTTAATATACCAGTGTCAAGAATATGATGAAATAGACTATGTTAGTAATTATTAGGTATAAATCTACTATAAGTACAAAAGAGACAGTTTAACTTTCACAGAAATACTAAGTGATCCTGGTGCTAAGCAATAACACGGCTTAAAAAGTACAAATCACATGATGAGATTAAGAATATCCGAAGATTGCAGTCAGTTGTACGATTGCAACCACAAAGTATTTCGATAAGTAATTTAGGGTATATTGTGAATGTGTGGGGAAGGGGCTAAAAGTGGTTAGATTAAGATAATAATATCAGATCATGAAGGCACTAATATTGAGTTGTTTGGGCAGGTGCAAGATAAGTTGTGGTAAAATTTAAGGTTGAGCATTTAGTAATATTTCTTTTTTCTGAGACTGAACGAGCGTATGACTTTAACTTACTGTTTATATTCAGGAGCTAATGTAAACATGTTAAAAAACAAGTACATGTTTTGGATGATGGGTGATATCCGCACAGTCGTCTACTAGTGCACGTCAGTAGTTACGGAGTCGAATAGGAACAAGTTTATAAGAGTATAGCTGCGATGAACACTGACAGTTCGCTTTTTTGGGTTTTAATTACTAACATACAATCCGGGTTTAATTTGGCTAACCCAACTTTCATTTGAGCTACCATACAAGCCATCAGGTAGAAAAACTACATAATTTAATAAGTTGCTCAGTCAAGAAAGACAAATAATATTCCGGTCAGAGTAAACAGCAGGAAAGTACAGAGTCCTACAAACTCGTACAAAGACTAGATTTTGTTACCAAGGCAAGGAAATAGATATAGGCGATGGCGAAAAGCTAGAGGAAAGAATAGGAAAATAGGTTAGCATTAGGGGTAAAGAATGAGGATTAGAAATACTCATTGATTGCAGCAACAAAAAGATACATTATGGTTGTTTAAACTAGTTTTAAGTTATACTACTCGAATGGATGCGACCCAATCGGAATGTTTATGTTTAAGCGGTAGAGTGGGTGCAACTAGATATGGGGGGGGGTGGGAATAGACACCAACAGACACTTCTGTACATGTAAAAAATATTACTCAGACCTCTGTACCCCTCACAAATAATTGGCATGCAAGTCAGCATTTATGATGAACGTGTTTTCCATCTAAAATAGCGAAACGATAACTTCAAATAAATATTATTTGAAAAATACACATACGCTAAAATAAATTGGGGATATCAAGAGCTATTTCGTACAGAAAAAGGCCCGGAACGGACTCAACACAATAATTAAGCTATGTATTATAATAAATATATGCTGTAAAATAACCTTAGAATTAATGTTTGAAACGAAGCTGACCCTTTGAGTTTGATAGTAATTACAGTAGAATACCGTTATTTGAGAAGTATTTCACCTGAGTAATCCGATGGGACATTAAGGATCTGCACTTTCCATGAATACATCTTTTGTGAAAAAACACTGAATGCACACTTACCAGCCCTACAGTTTCATTTATTCATGAGGAAATTCATCTGCTCATATCAATCTACACGTTTTAGAGGTCGTGGAACAGTTCAAAATTAAAGAAGATACTTGTAAAAAAATTTCGGCAAGGCTCCCATTAAGACCTGCGAAAAACATTCCGCAGATCCTTGTGATGAGCTGTTAGTCATGATAGTAGTCCTCAACAAATGGCACCTGACAAATATAAGCATCGTAACATCACTTTTTCGAGTTACACGCCTCATACAGGATAAATACTCACTTTAGACAACATAGAACCTTGAGTAAATTGTCTATCAAGTATAGCTACAGATTGAGCAATTACTGTTTTACGGCAGTTCCTAGTTTAATCAGTTGAAATGTCATGACGCACGAACAATCAAAATTTGGGGTGGTATTATTTGGTTCTGAGAATAATATGGAATCCAGTGTGCACTTGTTATTATAATATCTTTTCAGTTACGTCCCGCTTAACCATATAACCCAGAGCACCAGACTAAAGCAAATGAATATTAGGACCAAACAGTGTTTAACTTTTCGTCTAACTGGGAAGTAATGTCACCTTAGTCGTCGCTTCAGCAATTCCAGTGACTATATCGAGGACTGGATTGCCGTGTTCAGTAGCTTTAAGACAATAGTGACAGACTATTCGTAAGAACACGAATGACGATCGTTCAGAAAAAGATGTCAAAACTATATGCAATATGAAAAAAGGCTGGATTGAATCACACGAACCACTACACCAATATTTGCGATGCCCGGACAAAAATCTGCTTGACCAGAAGTTTGTGGATAATTATCAGGTCACGTGACCTTTCATGTTTCTGATTTCTAAAAACCCACAACCCCAAACTAATTTTCAAAAATAAACTGACGATTTATGGACTGACCTCGATAATAAAGAGTAACAGACTGTTCCTATCAAAAATGTTAAGGTGATTTCCTGTCTCCAGCTATTGGAAAAACGAACGGACTACTAATGTATGCATCTTCTTGAAAAATCTTCTACGCTGTTCCTACGGACCTAGTTAGACCATCGAACTTGCAACTAGCGTTTAAGACTTGGCGCCTCCCAGTTTTAGTGGGCCGTCCTGTTTAAAATTGTGTCAGAGAGTTGTGGGAGAATCCCTAACTTTAAGAGCTACGAATCCAGCATCACAACTTCGAGTCACTAAATAAAAATCGTGGGTCGATGTATGTGTAATGCTGTTGGAACGGTAAATTACCACCCCCATTAAATAGTTGTGTAAACATTTGACAGTGTTAGCTTTAACGGACACTACTAGCTATGGGTGCCCAAATAAGCATCGTGTTCGTACTATGATACCCTTACATTTCTGTCCAAAGACTCTCACCCCATTTTTTCATGTGATCTAAATTTCATGAAATCTGAACTCACAATCAAACAGGTTCTGAGGCGCATAAACATACAAAAATTCTCTGGTTCATGTGGTATACGACCCAGATTACTGAAAGAGTGCGTGGGCTTTCTTTGCTTCTCTCTTATTACCTTGTTAAAGGATTCCTTAATGAAGGACATACTACCTTTCGATTAAAAAAAGAGAATAGTTATATTGACCGGAGTGTCATTAGGCTATGTTCCTAAACCACTCCTGTTCCTACTGATTACAATCAACCTGCGTAACCTTCTAGACTGTCTAATTCTCCTTTAAGTAGGTGATAGTGTAGTCTGAAGATGATTAGTTGTCTCAGATGATGTTTCGACTCTCTGAAAATAATTATATTGGATGTATCACTGGATTAACAATGACTTCCTCATATCCCGACATCAATAAGTGGAGAATGCCAGTTGTAAACAGCATTGATATCCCACTAATTTTGAAATCCCTTGGGAATTACTTTTGCTAAGTACCAGTCTGTGATACTCTGAGATTCTATTATAAGTGGCATTACGCAGCCAGAAAAAATGGTTCGTTTAGAGAAATCTTTACAGTAGAGTCAGTTGTCAGACTCCAAAGTTAACAAAAAAGCTATTTTTGGTGTTTGCCTAAGACTTCGTTTTGAAAAATACTACCAAGTTATATTCTCTTATCATGAGTAAGATATCGATCTCCTGGAACATGTTCGAAGAAGAGAGACTAAAAAGGTATTGGGAATAACGAACAGAGCCTAATTGTCTTGCATGTAGTCCATAAAGACATAGTCGGAGGGGTGCATAATAATAAGACAGGATGTGATCACGTTGTATCACAATCCTCTCAACCAGAATAAATCACTGGTGTGTTTCGGTAATGAGTCACTTGAGAGGACATCCACTCAAGATAGAATACAAGAGAGCTTCACAAAAATCTACGAAAATATTCTCCCCACTGAACTCGGTAAGTTCTGGAACTCCATATAGAAAAGTGAATTTTTTAAGGGTGTGACAGTTACTCTAACTCTGTAGACACTAAGGGAGATTACATAGCGTTAGCCCTCGATCACTCCCATTATTCACAAAATTATTTTACCCTCCAGTTTCTATGAGAAGTATGACAAAAGTTATATCCCTGCGTAGTCAATATCTATTTATAAGAGGGCCACAAGGAACAAACAGTTCACTAGATCTACTGACCAAACCTAAAATTCATTTCAGTTTCATTTTGAAAAGGACGAGAGACTATATGGCATGTCCTAGTCCTGGCAATGGTGGTCTCTCAGCCTATCCAGTATCGGCAGATGAATTTTCAGTCGCGTGTTAGGATGGTGAGTTCGATTCATTGATGAGTCTACGGGGAAGTCGATAGTCAACTGACAAGTAATTTTTTGGCTTGTGACGTTTTTAGAGTGTCCTCGTAAATTCCGTTTTGAAAGATGAAAAATTGACGGCATATCAGATGCAAATTTATCACTGAATAATTTAAAAACTATGGTCAGGTTGCATCTGCTTCTTCTATATGACAGTGAAAATTGGTCTAGTTTAACCAGTCAAGCAACATACGGGAGCTTTTCTATTCCTGGAATAAACTTAGTTGTGGTTCTTTAAACCTTTTCAAACAACTCATTATCTCCAATTAATCAGGGGCTAACCACTTGTATTCAGTACTTGGGTTTAGGACAAACGAATACTGCATACAAAGTCAAGATTTTGGCATCGACATGGTTAAAGACCCTACGTATTGATCATAGGGTTCCAAAACCTTTGATGGATATCGTACTGCAGTGTGTAGAGATTATCAAGTCTTGTCTAACGATGAATCCTAAGCCATGGTGTGTCTGGACGACAGGTAGATCAATGTTATTCACCGTGTATGTATCTGTACCTTGGTGGCCAATATGCATCACAGTGCACTTGGAAGAATTTATCCGCAACTGTCAAATTTCAGACGATTTAGATAAGTTTTCAAATCATTTTAAAGCTCTAACCCAACACCTTTACTTTTTATCGCTCTTCATATCGTCAGCATATAGCAAGACAGGCGATAATAGGAGAATGGGAAGCCATTTACAAACAAGAGAAGCAACAATGGCCTCAAAACTGCACCCTGAGGCACTCCGCTTATCACAGCTTTCCAGCTAGACAACTTCAAGTTCGTCCGTACTCTTTGTTGCTGTCTAACTAGTAAGTCCTTTATCTGCACTAATTAATCGCCTCCAACTTATATAACAGTGGGTTGTGGGGAAAGTTGTCAAAAGCTTTGCTGAAGTCAGTATGGGCTTTGTCTCTAGGCAACTTTTATTCTTTATGAGCAAACGAACTCTCACAGGCTGCTAAGTTATTGAGACAGAAACAACCAATTCTAAAGCTATGTTGCTTTCAACGAAGAATCTTATATTCGTCGAGATATTTAAAAAGCTTCCGAATAATCTTTTCTAAAGTTTTGATAACCACGCTGGTTAGGCCTGTGGGTCGATAGTTTTTACGCTTATATCTCGCACCTGCTTTGAAGGCAGGATTTACAATGGCGTACGTTTGTCTTTCGGTAGTCGACCATGAGTTACAGATAGATTGAAACATTTGCCCACTGGATTCACGACGAAATTCGCTGATTCACTTAGTAACCTAGGTTGCATTTCATAGAGTCTGATTGGTTTGCCTATATCAAGCACATTAGACAGACCAAATACATCAAGTTCTTTGATGGTCACAGTGTCCATTATGTGTGCGAGGGTTGGTATGAACTAGAGGGAAAGACATCTCCACGGTATATAAATTGCTTGTGAGGTTTGAGGTTACCGGGGCTTTATCATAATCGTCCTCCACTAATGATGCGGCACTACTGTATATACATGATGCTGGAATGTTTCCTCTTCTCCTATTGCATTGTATTATGTATGAGTATAAGCATTTAGGGCATTCTATAGACTCCTTAACAAGCTTTTCTTCGTACAATCTTCTAAACTTTCAGAGCGTCGAGGAAAAAATATTTGGAACTCTCCTATATTGAGACTTTGTCTTGTCAGTATACTGTAACCCAAATCTCTTCCACATTCTTCTCCGCTTACAGTGAACGTTACCGACATCTTTACTGAACCACAGTAGGGGGTTTCTCGAATCCCTCGGCGTAGTCCAAATGATGTGAAGTGCAGTGAATTTATTCCACAGATTTATGAATACATCCCAGGCAGTTTCAATTGGGTAATCTGGTTCTATTGAGGATGCTGAGTATATAATATCTTTTAAATTTGCTTTTCAGATGTTCGGTTTGGTTTGGGCTGACACTTCCTCCTTACTGACGAATACATGGAAATCAAAGACTAGAACAGCACAGTCAATTTTACCTAGCATACAATGGAGACTTGTGACGTGTAATTATGGCCTAATTCAGTGTTTGTACACTTATCCTTGTTACTTCAATAATAGACTCAATCCCAAAATTGTAGACTTATCATGACACTACTACCTAACCTATAAAGTCTTACGTGAAAGTCATATAATTATCTATACTGACTCGTCCTATTGTGACAACAGCAGCATGATGTTAAGCGCTTCCGAGGAACACATCTGGGGTGGAGATAAAATTATATATATATATATACATATTATGAAGTCTCCTATGATTAAACATCGGCCACTTTGTGACCAAGTATTGAGATTGCCTAGCATGACTTCATTCATCTTACAGCTTGGATTGCGGTATACGTAACATATCGGCAGTTCATATCCAATGCCCTCCAAGCGGTAACTAACTAATTCACATGCCACACTTTCATGAGACATGTTAGCAATAACGCCAAATGAGATGATACTTTTGATGAATAGAGCTACTTCTCTTCTGTCAGCTCATGCGAATGTGAAGCCTTCAAAATCAAGTTTCCTACCGTCTACAGACTGCAGCAGTCAAGTATCTGCGGCTGAAACCACATTTGGCTTCATGGAGTCTATCTGTACACCTATTTCTGATCGCTTGTTGAGAAAGCTTCAAGACCATTAAAACGGCTTCGTGTTGCACCCAAAGTGGCTTCGACATCATTTTCCGTCGAAGCCTCAAAAACTGTTCTAAGGGCGTTTTCACCACCTCCTAACCTTAGCTTTAGTTCTTTTCAGCCTCTCGTCTCTTTGTACGGTCCAAGATAGGTAAGTCTATAGGAAAAATCTCGTGACTCCATTATTTTAAGTCCATTCTGTAGTATCAAGTCCCTTTCATTGGGATATTTAAATAATACTTTAGTAGCCTGGTTTATTCTATTTCTGGTCCATTTCGCTACATAGATTATCAACCTCTAGCAAGGTGGCTTCAGAGGTATTTTTGTGGGGCTCTTAATTTTCTCGTCATTTAGATCGGACGATGTTGTCGAAACGGCTCTCCATTTTAGTGGCTCGAGATCTGACTCCAACTAGATCGTATGAATGTTTTTTACCACCTATCCTCGTATATAATCATCGACTTAAATCGCGTTAGTCAATAACGGAATTAAATAAGTCAAATAACGAGAATGGACTTTTGAATACATTTATTTTGTATATGAGGCGAATGGAATAAAGAGAGGAGGAACGACGCGCAGTGTTGGCCGTATCCCTTTTAGTCAATCATTAATCAAAACTTATAGTCACACGAAAATAGGTTACAGACATCTGATGCGTAATGGGATAAGAGATGCGTAACAGCTCAGGTTGGTTGGTTAAGAGTTGACCCCAAACA